TGGAAATCCCATTTCCAAATCCATGGGATACCGAATCTGATAACAAAATGGGCTGTAGATTTGGACATAGAAATGTCCTTGTAGACTGGAAGGTGACTGTAAGCAGCTTGCCATTCATTGAATGCAAGACGAATGGGTTCTGGAAATGCATCGAGCTGTAAACCAAATTTATCCCACCAAACGAGAAACCAGTTGGGGAGATTGCTTTTAAGGACATCGGGAAGAACTCAAAACAAACGAGAGAAACCAATTTGGGAGATCGTTTTTAAGGACGTCGGGAAGAACTCGAAAGAACCAAGAATGGCTTCGAGGGGGATTCATATAATAAAATGCTTGAGTAAAAGCATCTATATAATCCCAGTAACTGTAACGAGACTCCTTATTACGGATCTCAACTGTGCGGGTAACATGGGGATGAATACCCCAAGCATGCTTGGATAAAATATTCTGGATAGTAGCTTTGCTATAATTAATTAGACTGGTAGTACGGTTGGGTTCAGCCAATGTATGCTTAAAATCAATCGACGCAAGTTCAGTAAAAATTTGCTCGAAAATGTATCTGTATTGATCAAAGTGCAGTGGAGAGTTTTGAGTAGTCAAATACCGCCTTTTAATTTCCTAAGGATCATTGAGCCATTGGACATCTTCGGAAATAATGTAGAGAACAGTTTCTTCTACAATGGTATTATGGAAATAAGAGACCCCAAGGGTCATTAGGCCAAATTGATAAAAAGTTTTCAAGAAAATTATTTTTCCTTTCAATATGAAATGCTAATATATCATTTAATATAACAAGAGTATAAACAGACATACATTAAAAGAAATATGGAAAAGAAATACTTACAACTAGTACTTGAATACTTTCATTATACTACAACTGGTAAGAGTAGTACAGAGAGAAAGAGAGGGGAAGAGTACCACCATTCACATACTATCATAAGTTATTTATTTATTTATTTATTTTTATATAAAATATTATCTATTTCAATAAAAAAAATACATTGGGTAAATTAAAAATATATTTCTAAGATTTGATTAAAATATGAATCATTCTTATGGTTTTAAAAATTATATTCCATCCACTGAGATTTCTAATTTTATAACAAATCGCTTCTTTTATTAAAAAATTATTAAGTCAATTAACAATTTTTAATAATTTCAGAAACATATTTCAATTAATAATTTAAGTAATTTAATTATTATATACGAAAAAAATTATAAATTTTATTTTTCTTGTTAATTCTGTTAAATAAAAATTCTGATAAAGAAATATTTCAAATTTTCTAAATCACAAAAAATAATTTATACTTTAAATAAATTTTAATATGAGTATTTATAATTTCCCTACCATACATTAATGATAATATAAAAATTAAATTACATTACTATTTCATCTAGGACCATCCTTTTAAATTTCATAACTATATATTCAGAGCAAACGAAGTGGTTGCTGCGAAACCCTAGCCGCATACAGAGGATAAAGAGCAAAGCAATTGCTGCGATAACCCCAAACATTTTCAGGTAATTTCACTTTCTCTCTCCTCTTTTCCGAACCATCCCACCGTAACCCCACAGTATTTGTCAACAATAAAAGCAATAATATGTTATTGTTCTTCCATTTCGCGATCTCAAGAAAAAAAGAGAGGGGTTTCGTGATCTGCACAAAATCATCAAAAAAAGTAATCTTTTCCGGTTAATAGTTTTGCCTATCTCATAAGCATACATATGTAGTGTCAATGTCTGTATATGTATGAAGTACCTGTTCTTTTTCTAGGGCAGAGGGGTTGTTGTTGGTAGCCATTGAAACCTGAATGAACTGAAAGATCAATCAGAAAAAAATATTCAGAAAAAAAAAGTCACTCCCCAATCAGAAAAAATATTCCGAAATTATTTTACATTTTCAATTATATACTTCCGAATTATTTATAAATTTTTGATACTTAATTTTTGAATTTTTTAAATTAAATCGGTTCTGTAGTGCCGAATGTTTTACAATTTTTCAGTACTTGATATCAGAGTAGTTTATGCAAGCAATGGATAGAGTGTAACAATGGAGTGTAGCAAGTAATGGAAAACAATAGAGGTAGTGAGAAACAATGTAGGAACTAAGTTTTAAATTTTTTTTTTTTTTAAAAGATGTGCATTGAGAATTGTTGTTTTTTAAAGATGTTTATAGCAAAAATCTAGATTTAATTTGTAGTGTGTATTGATGTCTATTATGGTCATTTTGCTTCATGATAAATTTGCCATAACTTTTTTTTTAAAAAATTAATTGTGTACACAGAGACAAAACAGTGTGGAAATAGAATTTCCCATAATAAACAGAGACTAGATCACATTCTTCATCACATCGTTTTCATCATTTTAATGGGTTGAGACTCGAAAGGGCCGAGAGACATGCCCCCTCAGTCTTCAGGTAATGTTTCTACTTCATTGTCATTGCTAGACATGTTAATTCTTCTTAGGGGTTTACATTCTTTTCTTCAGTTCATCTTTGTCTAGATTCAAGTTTACTAGTTGCATTATTTTTTTTGCCGTGCATTATTTTTATTAGCATATATATATATATATATATATGTTTTTTTTTTAATTATATTAATGAACAAGAACTTTTGGAGTGCAACTGTTTTATTTTCTAATAGGTTTCAATGCTTGGAAACAAGAGTAAATAGTTTCTTATATATATTTTTTCTTTTCATTTGTAATAAAATAGGTTGTTTACTTGAAAGTTTTGATGGCATGAGTGGAGTCGGAAAAAAGAAAATAAGGTATTCTTTGCTTCTCATTATCCTGTGTGTATTTTCCTTATTTAATTAGATTGTTTTTTATATTATTTTTATTTAATGTTTTGTTTTCGTTTAAATCTTTCAATTAATAGTTTCTCTACTCTTATAATAATGTTGCGTTTTACTTAGTAATTTGATGAAACTTTTTTATTCGAGAAAAATAAAAAAATCTGGTTAACATATTGTGTAGCTCATGTATTAATTTGGTTGGTATTTCTTATTTTACCTTTTGTGGTTTTGGTGGTTAACCAGCCATTGGTTCTTGCACATTTTGGTTTGAAAACCTTTACCAGAAATTATCAGTACAGTAATTACAATCCAGTGGGGCTTTTTTAAAAAAAAGCAATAGACGTGCAATGGTTTGTCACTCCATTATATCTACCGTAGTTGCAGAGACCTACCGCGGCCTTTCCATCTTGCTTGACAACCCAGCATGCCATTTTTTTGGTTGTGCCGAACTGTTATAGTTGTGGGTAGTCAGCCATTTGATTGAATCTGTGCCTTCTCATCCTGCTTGGTTTCATATTGAACCGGTGGAGTATTTATGAGCGGCATTGATGGGTTGTTACACACACTAAAAATAAATACTAAATTATACCAAATTCCTTCGAATAATGGTAAGTCCAGGTATCGATTTTTTTTTTTTTTTTTTTTAATCGGCAAAGGTTAGTTGTTAGATTAACAGCTATGGGAGAAAATCTCTCCACCCTTGGCAAAACATCTAAGTGCTAGCACTCTCTTAATTCAACCCCCGAAGGGGAATTGAACCCATGACCTCCTTGGGACTCAACCCAAAGGAAGGTATGGTGGCCAATTAGGTTAGGCCTAGTTGGTTAAGTCTAGGTATCGATCTATAGGGACAAATGTGAAATTAAACTAATTTAATTGCTAAATCCCTAAATTAATTCTGATGGAAGAGCTGATTGTTTATAAACTAATGCTAATTAAAATAGTAACAAATTAAACTAACGATTAAAAATGAAATTGGGATTACTGATTTTGGAAAAACCTAGGGTAATGAATTTACCGCTGGTTACATAAACAAGGTTTAATTTGAAAATCAATTATGTTACGGTTCGAACCAAATAATACTTCGCAACTACAAGTTCGAAGCATTGATCAAGAGAATTATCATGTTTAATGTATGGGTATGAACCATCTCAAGTTGCACAAGTCGTTCGCTCTAAACTAGAGTACCAAACGACTCGTATCTCATAGTATGATTTGTCTCATACCTTGAATATGAAAGAATAGAAAATCATTGCATGAAAAGCATTTAACAATCACAGAAAGTAGAATACTTTAAGAAATAATAGAAAATATATATAAAAACTTCTTGAATACCATACAACTTGTTCAAACCATTACATAATCAAAACCAAAAAGAAAACCCTATTTACTTGGCTAGGGTTTTATCAGAACCCTAGAAATAGAAGCCTAGCCACTTATGGAGGAATGGGAAGAGGTGGAAGAAAGATAAAACCCCCAGGAAAGATGTTCTTGAAGCTTGAAAATCCCCCTTTCCAAACCCTAGCCCCTCCTCTCTTTTGGAATTTTCGGACCCCTAGAGTAGCTGTAGCTCAACTTTTTCGCGCCCCTTTCGGAAGGTTTGAAAGAAAGCCCTACAGTTCGGACTCCCGCGGTTTTGAATCTAATCTTACAAGTGCAATGTGAAATTGATAAACACCAAAAAGTCTAAATCCGGCAAATCTTTTGGAAAATTGATTTTAGGATAAAAAATGTCAAAATTGGACTCTTACCAGATACAGAGTCGCTACCTAAATATTTTATTTTGGAAAAATTTAAGGAACCCGTGACTTATGCTAAAGGCCACGTATCCGTCATCACCAAAGTTGCCTCGGCTCCGGAACTTAGGTACTAGAGGGAAATGCCATGAATTGAGCACCCCCACTTGCCCGATCAAAGATCGGTCTCTAATAATCATGATATAATTTTTATCAACATTATATGTTATTGTTCCGGTTATTAAGCTAGCATTACTATGTGATGCGCACAAGCAAGTATAGACTAGTTTGTCCAAATTGGAACAATTCAATTTCATGTTTGTTTTGCGAAAAGGGTTTGAATTTGCCCCCCCCCAGTGGGCTTAAAGTTTGCGAATTTGCCACTTAACAAAGTGGGCTTAAAGCAGTGAATTTGTCACTAGACATAGTGGGCTTAAAACATACATTTGTTGAATCATTCCAATTCAAACAAGCAGCCTTCATCCACAGGCATTTAAGCAGTTTATCAAATAAGCATTTAGCCTCATGGAAGCATGCTAGTCATGGCAATCACTCACACTCATGCAAGTATGCTAAAGTATTAAAAACTCATCTAGTCCTCCAAGTTAAAATAAAACAAAAGAGTTAGAAAAATATGTATGATTCCTAACTATGCGAAATGTCTAATGCAACACATGCAACATGCAATTAATAGGCTCGGCTACTAATATGGCATATGGATTAATTTTTGATAACATGCGATTAAACATGTATTCAACGAAATATTGAAATGAAAATGCAGTTAGAATAATGCGCCGAGTCTCGATTCATGCAGTACGAATGAATGGATGCAAGCATAAGGTATGCTAAATGAACATGTCCCTAATCTAACTATCAAAAGCGGATAAATAAAAGAGAGAAAGATATGGAGTTGGAAGACATACACATTATTACAACATGCTTTCACGAAGGAGAGTCTGAATGAATAAACTAGCTAACCAAGCTAAGCTAAGCTAATTAAGCTAATTATTACAACATTTGAAATGAGTAATTAACTAACTATTTAAACTAATTAATTAAAAGAAATTAACTAGGCTAATCTAATTAAATATTACAACACCAAATAATTAGCTGCAACTAATTAGACTAATTGAATATTATAACACAATTAATTAGCTACAACTAATAATACTAATGAAATTATAAATTGCATTTGATAAGGACACCATGGAAGATGGATGAAGGTTGCATACGCATCACTTGAAAGCTACTCCGTCTGCCCAGACCATCTCTGTTTCACCTTCAGCCATTGCCTTTGTTTTTGCAAAACTGCACTGTTGGCCATACACCAAGGGTTGACCGTGCATCACTGATGGCCGGCCGGGTCTATAGATGACTAGCCGTGCATCCATTTGGTGCAAAGCTCTGTTTTTGTGCTCTGAGGTGAAAACAGTGCAGATAGAGCATTTTTAAGCTCTGTTTGTCCTTCCTCCCTTCTTTGTCATGGAAAAGTTTCAAGAGAAGGTTGGGATTGATTTCAAAACCATCAATAATATGATTGCTTGATGATCTCGAATATCATTTTGGACAAAAATCAATGAATGTAATGCAAATGACCACCCCTCCCTTTGTTATGGAATGAACTCAAAAAAGGAAATTGAGACGCTTCAAGGACATCGAAAACACCATGAATTGATGCTTGATGACTCTTTGACACAAGAAACTTGGCATAACGTCTAGCCAAGTTCAAGCTATTAAGCCATTTTTTTTAAGTGTGTTAATCCAAGTTTTAAGCCAATTGTTTTAGTCATTGCCATTCATTAGTCCATTTGTCCAAATGTGATTTTAAAGTCCTCTAAACAAGAAATAATGTCAAACAAGAGGTTATTCTAAGACGTGAGAAGGAGACTACACCGTTGACAATGAATCTCCGGAGAGATTAAGCCATTAAGTGTAGGTCTCCTTTATATGTTTTGAACAACTTCAATTGGTTGAAACCATTCTCAAGAAGGAAAGATATGGCATGGTTGATTGATTAGTAAACTTAGACTCCAAACATGGAAAATGAACCAAGAAAGCATAATACGTAACAAGTATGTCAACTTATGAGACCACAAGTGTATTAAACGAGGCATGAACCAATTGAAAAGGCCTAGACAACCTCAAAACAGCCCTTAATACATGAAAATCAAAGGTAAAACATGCATGAAAAGAGTTTGAAAAGCTAGACTATAAAGAAGAGAATTAAGGCTAGTAAACAAAGATAAGGAGGGGTGGTTAATCCCTCCACTTTTGAAGCTTCAAAACATGGTTTTTAGCCTTTCTAAACCTCTGAAAATCAGTGTAAATACCAAAGAAAAAGAGTGAAAAGGAGAAGGTTTTAGTTATAAGTAAAGGTATAGAAAAAGCAAGCTCTCTCTACCCTTTTGGTAACTCTTCAAACCCAACTCCACACACTTCAAACAAGCTCAAAACAATCCAAAACAGCAAGAAATATGAAGTAAATGGTAGAAATGAAGGCAAGAGAAGAGAAAACAAGCTTATACCTTTCAAGAAGTAAACTTGTCGTTGATGTTTCAAACTTGGTTTTAATTCACTCTCAAGCTTGAATTATACTTCTCCAAGATCAACCAAGGCTTTAGGGTGGTAAGACAAGGTTATATATGGTGTATGTAGGTGATATAAGCAAGCTAGGTTAGCTCAAAGATGACTTGCAATGGAAGGAGGAGAAAAGAGCTCTCAAGGTGTATATATCACTTCTAGAATTTTTTTCAACCCTCAAAACAATCCCAGAGCTTCGGTTTTATAGAATTCGAGCTCAAAATGTGATAATATCTTCAAAAATGGACAGCTGGTGGCCTTCCGCCCAGAACAGTGTTTATCACCATCGAAGGCCGGCCGGCCATTCATAGTCACAGCCGGGTCTTGATGGCCTCTCTTGTTTTTTTAGTTCAAACTCAGCTCAGGGTAGGAAAAGGCCCAAAAATGAAATTCATGGGTTCAAACAAGGTAAATATTGAAGATGTGAGGTTATTTCGGAAGCCTGATTGATTCCGAATCGTTGCGAATTTATAATTCAACTTTCATCATTGAGTGCTATGAACCAAGTGTCTGAGTCTTGCGAGGGGTCAAAAATGGGGTGTCTAAAGTTGCCCCTCTTTGACAGAGATCGGAGTCCTAAAATGACGTGAGTGAATGTCAAAGCCTAAAGACGACCCATTTTGACAAGGCTGCAACACTTGAACAAGAAAGCAAGGCAAAAATAAATTGGTTGTGCCCACAGGCTGCCTACGTATCCTTTTGCAAGGAATCATACTAGCGTAGTTTTGGGACAAGATGCAAATGACATGCATGATGCAAGAATATAACTTATGATCATGCAATGAGGCTGCGCAATGAAACATTTGAATGCGAATGCAATGCAAAGAAAATACCATAGTTAAACAAACTAAAACAAGGCACAGCAATTCCAAGCATGAAAAGAAGTAAGTAAATAAACACGACACGTGTGAGAATCACGCGTAAGTAAATAAACACCACATTTCATGCAGAAAGGAAGTAAAAAAATTAAAGCTCAACTACGCGACGCACAGGAAAGGCGAAGAGTGACATAACCGTCGGGCGCACCCGAGGCCTCTATTGAGATCCTAATGTGTTGCACGCGGAAGGAGAAAAGGGTTGGTGTGAACACCGGGACACACCCAAATGTTTTTAACCGATACAAACAATCCTAACGGGTCTCACGCTAGAGGAAGAGTGGTGTGAACACTGGACGTATCCGAATGTTTTTAACCAGAGGGATGGTGTGAACACCGGGACGCATCCGAATGTTTTTAATCGAAGGGGTGGTGTGAACACCGGGACGCACCTGAATATTTTTAACTGAAGTGGTGGTGTGAACACTGGGATGCACCCGAATGTTTTTAACCGAAGGGGTGGTGTGACACCGGGACGCACCCGAATATTTTTAACCGAAGCAATCCTAACGTGTCTCACGCGAGAGGAGGAGGGGTAGAAGGAAGTGATTCGAAGGGAACGAATGATTTTACCTAGAACTCTTTTAAATGAACCGTACATACAATAACGTGCATGCAAGAAATGATGAAATGAATTACGAACTGAACATGACAAATCATTAATGACCAGAACAGTTTAAACAAGATAAATTATGAAATTAAACTAATGAAATAAAATCAACATAAATCAAATTATGTGCTTACGCAACGAAACAAAACAAAACCAAATGGATATTTCCTTTGATCTCTATGCTATTTTGCCTTCATTGCTTGTTTTCTCCCCTCTCTCTTTTCTTTATTTTTTAACACATTTTTTGTTAACATACAACTCCTTACTCCATTAAAATCAAAACCCACGATCAAAAACTCAAAAATTAAAATCGAAATTTAAAACTCAAAATTAAAACCCGAGACTATAACTCAGAAATTAAAATAATGATGAAACAAAATAAAATAAAATAAAATAAAATAAATCAACAACACAAAACAACATAAAACAGAAAATAAAAAAAGAAAACAGATTGAAATCACCGAAGGCCGGCCGGGCCTCGCCGATGCACGGCCGGGCTTTGATAGCGCCGGCCGGCCTTCGACTACGACGAAGGGCAGTACGGTAAAAGCCACACCCGTGGCTCTTTAAAACACAAAAGGGCTCCCATTTAGATCACAACCTAGGTCGAAAATCCTCCATTTTCCTCTCTAAACTTCCATTCTCTCTAGATTGCGTCTTTTTCTTGAGTTTACCCAACAATCTTCACAAAAATTTCCTGAAATAACTTGTTTTCCTCTTCGTTTAGAACCGATTAAAAATTGTTTTAGTTGAAGTTCGGGTTTTCTTTTTGTTTTTTCCTCACTGTCTCACATCTTTGCCCAAACTTTTCTTATTCCCCTTTGATTTTCCATCCCCTCTTCACTTTTTCTTCACTTAGGGTTTGAAATTTAGGATTTCACCTCTTTTCACTCATCCCCTTCACTTTTTCTTCACTTTTTCCATGGCTAGTGACGAGGTTCCCATTCCAGAGCCTGCCATAGGTGTTGGTGCTGCCCTTGGTGCAGACATAGAGGCGGAGGAAGCCGTTGCATTGCTCCCCCTTGCCGAGAGGCCTTTTGATGCAGTCATATACCAGCCGCGTACGCATGTGCCACCTCCTAGCGGCATCTTGAGATTCGAGGGCTTCATTCCCGAGTTGGATGAGGATACTCTACTGCGAGAGCCCATGGAGCTTATCTCTGCTGACGCTTCCACGGTACACAACTCTTCCCCCATTTGACTTTGCATTTTACTTTGCGCACATGTTGAAATGTTGAACTTGATGAACAAATCACTTATCCCTACTGCACATATACTGATAAAACTTCCAATTAATAGGTGATCGCCAGGAGGATAGGCGGCTACGGCTCTATCTCTGGCCCCCGACATTGGTATGAGCGACTTCCCGCAGAGGTCCGCACTTCGGTAGATGCTGCTGGCTTTGGGCCCTTTTGCTCCGGGTTTATCCAGACGAGGGTCGAGTCTTGGCTTTATGGGGCCTTGGTAGAGAGATGGTGGGACACCACCAGCTCATTTCACTTCTCTTTTACCGGAGATATGACACTGACCCCATATGACTTCTTGATATTGATCGGTTTGCGGGTTGGGGTTGGCGGCCCAGTCCCTTTCGATCCAGATATGACTCAGTGGAGAGATGCATAGCTCCAACTTCTTGGGGCGATCCCAGACACTACCAGCCACAGGATGGTGCGCTACAGCTGGTTCTTGGAGCACTTCTCCGGCACACAGCCAGCCACTGCAGACGAGGTTGCCCAGTACACCCGTGGTTCCTCATATATCTCCTCAGCACTACCCTGTTTGCAAACAGGGAAAATACCATGAGATTATACATTCTAGGAGCATTGGTGCATCTTCCTCGGGTAGCGGATTACGACTGGGGTGGCGTAGGTCTGGCCACCTTATACTGTTACACGTGCTTCGTTTCCCACCGTAAGATGGATTCACTCGGCGGCTACTGGAGGGTTTGGGAGGTACATCTAACACTCACTTTTCTGATATGCTTTACATTCTGTTTACTGTTGTATTTCTTGCTCATTTGATCCGTTCTCTCATGTCATCTATTTGCCTTTGATTTGCAGCTTTGGGTCTACACATATTTCACTCTGTTGGCCCCAGTTCCAGTGAGGCCGGTTGAGTTGTCTGTACCCCGCTCTCAGTATTACAACTCACGGTTCGAGCGACGTCACCTTGTAGATCGCACCTTCCCATATTTCCGCCGTTTCTTTGACACTATCACAGCTGATCAGGTATTGCACTGTTTCCCACACTATATGATCACTATATCGTTGTACTATTGTATTGTACCATATTGCCATTCTCATACTGCACTAATTCTGACACCGCACTGCCATTCTGACATTGCACTGATATCTGACACTGCATTGATTTTCTCATGTTGACTGGCACCCTTGGGCAGGCATTCCCTAAGTGTCGAGGGTGACCTACACCGCTGCCTGGCATGCTTCCACGATGAGGATCTGTTCGAGGGCCTTTTTGGCTGGGCATACTACCTGGGAGATTGATTCATCCGCTAGACTCGGGGCGTTGCTGACCCTGATATTTCGCATCCTCCTTCTGCCGGCATGAGGGTGGTAGATGATTTATAGGATGGTCCTGAGCTGGACCACTTGATGATAGGTGAAGACGGCGATCGTCACCATGAGCCCGGCGACTTCACTACTTTCTTACACACTCGGGTGATGGCACCTCTTACTCCAGGCGTGGCTCGAGCTGTACCAGAGGTTGTTGTTGCTCTTGCTGCCGGGGCTAGCGATATGCTTATTGGAGGTGCCTCTGCCGTTGCTCCTATTCCTGGATTGCTTTTGTTTCCCACCGAGATTATGTACATGCGTCCAGATGGAGTGATTAATCAGATTCCACTTGAGCCCGTCGAGGAGAGGGACGGCAAACTTGTGTTTGCCCTTGGTGTTGAGCAAGTACATTTTCTTTTTATGCCAGTCCATGTTGCACTTTAACTTATTCTCAGCCATTATTGTTCACTATTCGATTACTTCTATCTGCTTTTCTCAGTTTCTGTTCTTTTGCAGATTCCCCGGGCATATGGTGACGAGCTCCTTCGGACGATTGACCGACTACTCATCATGTTACGGAGGAGACAAACTGTTTTAGTCACCCACGGGATTGAGGTACATTCTGTGTGTAGCCTACTGTCATTGCCATACTGTACACCTCTGATCACTCTATCTGATATTTGATATCTGATATTATAACTATTAAAACATTAAATTATGCACCAGATTCTGGATGCCCATGTTTTGCAAATTCAAACATTGGACCTATTGAAATTATGCACTTTCAGAAAGAAAAAAACGAATACTAGTTGTCAGTTAACAACAGCCATCTAATATTTCACATAGGCCCAAATTTTTTCCAGATTAAATATCAAAATGAAATCTTACTTGGCTTATGTTTTTGAAAAATTAATTAGAATGAGATATTATTTGACTCTGCTTTTGAAAATTAAGACATTCAGCAATAAGAATTTGTTACCATTATGTTTTCTTGATGGATCTTAGGAAAAGGATAAATTGGCCAAACAGTTGAGCCATCTCCGTCACATAGTCTAAGACAAAATTTGCATAGAAAGCAAGTTATGATTGAACAGAAACATAAGCAATGAAATTCTATGAAAGGTGAAAAAACAAATCAATACACACTACAATTATGAATTTCTGTCTGACGCTTGAGGGACTACAACAAAACAAAATAGAAATTGGTTTGAATGAGAATTAAAGTGGGAATGCATTACAAGTTCATGATCTAATCTTCAACATAGAGTAACCAAGTTACAAACATCAGATAATCACAGAGGCAAGTTTTGCAAGGATGGAGGTAACTAAACTACCACTTGTGTTCCAGGACATACCAAAAAGAACAGAGAGATTTGATAAAGAATATGCATATAGTACACGACATAACTACGGAAAGAAGGGAAGAGAACGGTAAGGAAATACTTTGGATTAGTGGCAAATTACATTAATGTCAAGTTGGTCTCAGAATCTCAACTAAATATATATGAACATCATATAATAATTCTGAATTTCTAGTCTGGACTGCCTGTTGAGGGAATAATTTCTAAAAAAAAATAATTAAATTAAAAAAATTAAGTAGGATGACCTGCAACCATTATACTCTCAATGATCAGCGCGGTGGTGGTAACACTTATATGTTAGCTTTTATGTATCTTTTTAGATTATTAGCATAAGTTGTTGCATAACTATTTTTTCTTGTGCAAATATCTAGAATGTCTTCAAAGGTTAGCTACAAATTATAGCTTAAAAAAAACTCAGTTTTGTCTTAAGATCATTGGAGTGGTATATATGTGTTGCTTTGCTTTTGATCATTGTATCCTAAGATCAGTTTTTTCTTGGAGTGTTATATGTGCGTTGCTTTTGATCATTGTATCCTAAGAGACAAGCGTTCATTCAACTTGTAAGCACTATAGCGAGGGCCAAATTTGTCTTAAGATCATTGTATCAAACATAAACCTCGATCACCTCTTGTATCAGTTATTCATAATTTTAACATCCTATCTGTCAGTTTAATTTTATTTTATTCTAAGGTGAGACACAGTCATAGTCAGTGATTGACCATGGTCCTTGTGATGCTTCTGTACATGCATATCACTTCAGTTGGCTTTTTATTGAAGGAGCTACATGAATTTCACCCAGTGTACATCTTGCAGTTGTATATTTTTGTTTTTGTGGCCAATGAAAATGGTCAATGAAAGAAATGCATGGACATTGGAATTCTCTCACTATCCGAAATTCTACCCTTTCTTCTGGATTAGGATTTTTCTGTCATTCTTTTCTTTGCAGTGATCTTGTTGTAGTGATATAATGGTTCAAGTTTGAAGCTGAAGTAAAAACTCATCGTTTGATAACTACCTATACACACAAAAGAAGTTGAAGTTTCCTCTTTGCATACTGAGTTTCAGGAATGACACTTCTAAGAATAAAATCAAATGGAAATGAAAAACATAAAATAATGAAGTTTTGTTATAATTTAACTAGTAATATGGTTACACCTAGGATCTTGAAATGTAGAACTTTTATCATAATGCTCTTTTTCTAGTAAACTTTTGAATCATTTTGTATGCATTAAGCCTTTAATCTTTTTTTTTTTCCTTCTTTTTCTTTTTTGTGTTTTTTTTGTTTGGGGGGCAATGCCAAAGAAAATTTGCCAGGCCAATCTACAATCCCAATTCCGACAACCTTGAATACAGGTTAGAATTGAAACACAAAAATAATTTGCCACTAATCCAAAGTAGTTCCTTATCGTTCTCTTCCCTTGTTTTCCGTAGTTATGTCGTATACTATACGCATATTCTTTATCAAATTTCTCTATTCCTTTTAGTAAATAGTAGTTGACTGGTTTATTTACATGGCTGGCTTGAGGTAATTTGAGGCTTAAATCAAAGCAACAATTTTAAATGAGGTTTTTTTTTACATTTATTATTATTATTATTATTATTATTATTATTATTATTATTATTATTATTATTATTATTATTATTATTATTATTATTATTATTATTATTATTATTATTATTATTATTATTATTATTATTATTATTATTATTATTATTATTATTATTATTATTATTATTATTATTATTATTATTATTATTATTATTATTATTATTATTATTATTATTATTATTATTATTATTATTATTATTATTTATTTTATTTTTTTTATATATATGTCATGGAACCTAGAAGTGGCCTAGAGTGAGAAATAGAGTAACGGATCATGGCAAATACTCCGAAAACTCTGCAGGCAGTAACAACAAGACCTAATAATGTAATTTGGATCTGCTTTTCTTATGGGGTCTATTCTCCAAAATGAGTTTGGGAGGCTATATGCATATAACTATTAAATCCATATAGGGTTCTATGAGTAGCACATTACAAGAATGAATTAGTTTTCTCACTCAATCTTTTTTGTACGTTTATTTGTCATTTTTTTTTTTCATTTATGAATTTCTAATAAATTTCCTTGGAACTATGCATGTTACTAAGAATCTAGTTTTCTAAATGAACTATGCATGTTGATTTAGGGAAATTTGATGAATTAGTTTTCTCACTCAATATTTTTTTGTAAGTTTATTTATCATTTTTTTTTTTTTCATTTATGAAGTTTTAATAAATTTCCATGGAACTATGCCAGCCTTTCCTATAACTTTGTTACATTACCATCACATTCTCATTGCGGTTGCTACTTGGTCAAATGTTCTTCTCTTTGGTTTATCTTACAATTATTTGTTTCTTCACTTCGTTTTTTCTTCTGTCACACTTCATTGTTTTCTGTGCAAGGAATACTTCTCACAATTTATATAATTCTTGAGGAAACTAACAATGAGTCCTTCAGTTGTTGCTACTTGATGTATATGTTCAAATGAAAACATTATTGCCATTCAGTGAGTGGTTTCTCTTTATGTATGTTGATTGGAACCAAGTGCCTGAGGATATTCTTGAATCAATATGGGTGGACATTAAGGTAAAAGCCTATTTTGTAAATTGTTTAATTATATTATTAATTAAACTAATGATTTAAATTGTATTGTGGGATAATTTACAAATTTGTATAGAGGGGTACAAATCACGTTGCTTGAAAAAGTGCAATGACTTGTGGAAGGATCACAAAAGCAAGATCAAGAATAAGTATTTTTAGTGAAGTCTCATCCTAATATCAAAGATATGGTGCGTTCACAAATTGTTCCAGAACAGTGGTATGATCTTGTTGATTATTGGAAGACTATGAAAGTAGTGGTATACAAAATAAGTTAATTACGAAACACGTAACTTTAGAAAAATTAATAACTTTGTATAATTGCGACTTACATTTATGGAAACTTTATAGGCAATTGCAGTCCATAATGCTAGAAGTCATTCCTTTCATTATATTAATCATACGAAAGGACGTACTTCATTCAACCAGATTCGAAGGAAGGTATATATTGTTTAGGTAAATATCAATATCTAAATTACTTTGATAATAATTAATTTTTAAATTTTCAGATGACTGCTGGAGGGTTGGCCATTGATAAAATGAGTGTTTGGAAATATACACAATCAAACTGACCTTGATGTTAGGCCGACCATGGTATGTTGCCTGAAGATTACCACACTACTGAAGATACTCGAGATGGTGTTTTCCACAAGGTGGTCAGTGAAAACGGGCATGGATATTGTCCAACTTACAACAAGGATGTGCTTTGGAGCACGGTGTATGGAGATGCATCTAAAGTCATCACAGTCAGGATCTCAGTCATCGACTGTTGTTGAGATCACCAAGCAGGTTCGTATGGAGTTGAGACAAGAGCTGAGGGATGAGATTAGAGAGGAATTGAGAGAGGAGATGCGAGTAGAGCTTTTGACACAGATACGAGTGCAAATCACAACAAACAGGTTTGGTATAAATTATTTTTTATAAATACCTAATTTCAGCACAATTCTATCATTGAATATAAATATGATTAACGAAGAATACCATGAATATCATAGGTACCGGAAGCATTGAGTGGCCATTGTGAACCTACGGATTATGAGGCCGATGAGAACCCACGTACACCACCACCAGATGATGAGGTAAAATTTTCAAACACTTTGAAAACTTGTCGTTTAGAAACTGTTTTTCCGAACTGGTTGACTCACTAAAATGGTCAAACGGCGTTGGATATCAACAAAACTTGACACACACGACAAACTAAGCACAAATGACTTGTAGGAGAAGATGGAACTCAAAATCGATTCTCAATTTTGAATCTAGAGCCTAATTTCTATTTATGAAAACTTGTTCTTTAGAAACTCTCTTTCTGAACTGGTTGACTCACTAAAATGGTTAAACGGCGTCGGATGTCAATGAAACTTGACACACACGACGTACTAGGCACAAATGACTTGTAGGAGAAGATGGGACTCGAAACCTATTGCCGGTTTTGAATTTAGAGCCTAATTTTTGTTTATGGAAACTTATTCTTTAGAAACTCTTTTTCCAAACCGGTTGACTCACAAAAATTGTCAAACGGTGTTAGATGTCAACGAAACTTGACACACACGACTAATTAGGCATAAATGACTTGTAGGAAAAGGTGAAACTTGAAACCGATTGCCGGTTTTAAATCTAGAGCCAAATTTCTGTTTGTGAAAACTTTAGAAACTCTTTTTCAAACCAGTTGACACAATAAAATGCTCAAGCTACTTGGGATGTCAAGGAAATTTGACACACTTGACTAACTAGGCACAAATGACTTGTAGTAAAAGACGGAACTCGAAACTGGTTTTGGTTTTGAATCTCGAGACAAATTCCTGTTTGTGAAAAGAAATCCTTTAGAAACTCTTTTCATCTTTTGTGTTTATTCGATTGTTGTTAGATTATAGCACAATGTATTCAATCACTACCTAATTTTAATAGTATTATCATCATTGTATGATGTAATTAATTTTTTTTTGGATAGTTTACGTATACGAATAGTCCAATTGGCGGAGGGACATCTTATTATTGACGATTCGTTGTGTGAAATTGATGGAGTTCCAATTGGCCCTGAATATTGCAAAGTCTTTGTCTTAAAAGCGAAAAAGCTGAATGCTCTTTTGGAAACATCTTGAGGTCTAAGAACAGTTGGAGAAACTATTGAAAGATACATTGTGTGGCGCTCGATTCTTGTATATGTTATAATCTTTTTTTTGTATTTATTTATTTACTGAAATAAATATCAAATGTTTTACATTTGCTGTATGCTTGAAATATATTGTAAATGATGAGTTTTTTTTGGGTTTTTTTTGCAGATGCAACCCCTTTTGAGTACGTGGTGATATCTTTGCATATCGATATTGGAACTTATTGTTGATATTAAAACAAGCTATAATATATATTTTTTTATTTGTATTGTCGATACTTTTGTTTTGTTTTAGATGCAAAAATTTAAGTTCTTGAATATATCAAAAATTTTAAGTATTGTTGGAGAATGTTTTATATAATTTTGTAAAGAATATTTGGTTGACAATTGTTAAAGGATACATATATATTATTCTTCCTATGATTTATTCTTCATATGATTTTGTGAATGTGAATGTGAATGTGGATGTAGATGTGGATGTGTGTGGATGTGTGTATTTTATTTTAGAAAATATTAATAATTTGTATAAGGAATGAATTAATAAAATATTTATTGATTTTATGAAAATAAGTTTATAGTTGATGGGGCTCACTTATCTCCTTTGTTTGTGCCTCCATGGGGCTTATATTGTTAGTCTGAGGATTAGGTATATGGTGGTTAAGGCTTGGTATAAAACTTGATGGCAATAAAAGTATTGGGTCCATCGAATGCCATCTCTTACCCTGCCCCAACTGAACATCGGATATAACTGGATTAAAGAATATAATAGTTTTGGCATTATATCTCCGGGAACATCCAATCCCTCCTAATAATCCCACTTAACAAACGAGTGCCTGCAATATGTATACATTATGTGATGAAAAAATTCGCTACTCCCAAATATTTCGATTTTTCTGAAAAGCAAATTATTCATCTGGGACCCCAAATTTTCATTTTGGGCAAGAAGTTATTCATAGTGTTATAGTGTGTGCTAGACTCTAACCTTCTTCGGCTTTCAGGTACATGAGCGATTTGAACTTCTCAAGAAGCAGAAAGATACTGGACCCTTCATCGAGCAAACTAAGACTTGAAAATAAGAAGCAAGTATTTTGCTACTTGGAATTTAAGGCTAGTTTAGTTCAGATGTTTAATTTTTTAAGTATCAACAGTATTATTGATTGCTTAGTTGTATATCTTGTGTGTACAAGGTTGTGCCGCTTCTTTAATACAATTGATAAGTATTGATTGCTCAGTTGTGAACCAAAAAAGCATTATGAGTTCTCATTCCTTTGCTCAATTCTCTTATGTTCAGATTTAACTTTTTTTCTGCCTGAACTATTTCCATTGCTACGAGGATATACAAGAAAAAACTGGATTGATTCTGTTCTTTTTCTCTGGTAGATTTTGATGACCAGATCTTAAAACAGCAACAAGAAGAGGAGGAAAGGAAGAGTCAATGTAGACAGAGAAAGAAAGAGAAGGTTAGTTCCAAATCTATTTTCCTTTTTTTTTTCTTCCTGTTGATAAGCATAGATACACAAACTTACTTAATGAGAGGAAAAAGGAAAATTGACGAGATGCATATGCTCCAATTTATGTTACTTGACGAGAAATATAATATGATTTTTGGTTGTTGATTTGTTATATGGATCAGAAAGAGAAGGCAGCAGAGGAGGAAGCTGAGGTAGATGCTAATGTTGCAGCAATGGTGGGATTTGGGGGTTTTGGTTCATCCAAAAAGTGATCTTAAGATGCTTATCCCTAGTCTAGACCTCCTGAATTCTACCAGAAAGGGCAACTTTTCAAGTTTTGGCTTTCCTTTCAGAATGTAACAAATAGTAACGAAAGTGTTCACATCGCTGTTGTTATAAGGTTAACTGTTGGGGCTGAATATCATTTCCAATTTTGTACATTTCATCTTACTGGATATGTTGCAAAAAATATAGATGTGCGATGATGCGCTTCTTCTCGATTGAGATGATATTGCTTTGGAAAACACTTCTACCATTCAACAATTTTGCAATATGGTTAAGCATGCTTGTTATAACATTTGAATCTAAAGATTGAGATAAAAATTGTTGCCAAAGCTGGTAATAGAATTTTGCATTTCGGAAATTTGTTTTTGTTTTTGGTTAGATGAAGCGGCGATTATGGTTGGGGGAGAGGGGGTAAATAGAGACTTGAGCAAATTGAGATTGGAGGCCTCAATGAACCCCAAGGTAAACATTCCAGCTGAGTTCTACTATCAGATATTAAAATATTTGTCTTAATTCCCAACAGGAAGACAGCAGCCCTTAAAACAAATTCAATCTCATCTATTCCAGTTGGGCTTGCTTTTTTGCATCAGCTGATGTCATTAAAGAATTGAGGTGTGCACATAAATTTGTCTTATAGAAAAAGTGCAATCATATTCGCATTTCAATAAGTTTCTCATTTTGTTTGGTTTTAAGTTTTTTAAAACAATTTTTGAGTTTTTATATTTTTTGTATTTTTTTTAGTTATATCTAGCAAAACATGAGCAATTTGGACAGTTTAATCACCTTTTGTTAGTGGCGTTGGACAACGATAGTAGCTATGGATTAGTAAAGAAATGAGAGGGGTGATAGTAACTTAGGAAAAGAGACTAGCGTTGAATGGTGAAAATGAAAGAAGCAGTGGTAGTGGGTTGGGAAAAGGAAGGGTGGTGATGAACAAAAATAAGGATGGGAGGTAGTTGTCAATTGTAATAAAGGAAAAACAAATAATTAGCTCGATTAGGATTGGGATTGTTGAATTGTATGCGTCTTGTGGGACGATGGAGGATGCGATGAAGATGTTTGATGAAATGCCTCATACGGATGTGATTGTTTGGAACTTGATGATTTGTGGGTTTTGTGAAATTGGTGATTTTGAAATCGGGTTTCGACTATTTAGGAAGATGAGCGAGCGGAGTGTTGTGTCTTGGAATGTTATGATCTCAAGTTTAGCTCGAAGTGGTTGGGAAAATGAAGCTATGGAGATTTTTTGCCAAACATAGGACAATGGTTTTAAACCGGATGAAGCAACTGTGGTCTCTGTGCTACCAATTTGTGCTTGTTTGGAGGCAGTTGATATTGGATAGTGGATCCACTCTTATGCCAAGTCAAGTGGACTATATCGAGATTTCATCTATATAGGGAATTCACTAGTTGACTTCTATTGCAAATACGAGATTTTAGAAACAACTTTCACTATTTTCAAGGACATGCCCGAAAAAATGTGGTTTCTTGGAATGCCATAATCTCCGATTTGGCTTTCAACGGAAAGGGTGAGCTTGGAGTTGATTTATTTGAGGAGATGTTGTCGAAAGATGTGAAACCGAATGATGCCACTTTTGTGGGAGTTTTAGCATGTTGTGCACATGCAGGGTTGGTGCAACAAGGTTTGGATTGGTTTGCTTCGATGACTACAAAGCATCAAATTGAACCAAAACTTGAACATTATGGATTGATGGTTGATCTTCTTGGGCATAGTAGATGTGTGAAGGGGGGCTCATGATTTAATTCGCACCATGCCTATGAACCCTAATGCTACTATCTGGGGTGCATTGCTAAGTGCTTGTCATACTCATGATAGCATGGAGCTTGCAGAAAGTGCAGTGAAGGAGCTTATTGATCTTGAACCTTGGAATTTCAGTAATTATGTGTTGTTGTCAAATGATTATGCAGAAAGAGGGAAATGGGATGAAGTCGAGAAAGTGAGAGCGTTGATGATGGAAAATAGAATCAACAAAGCACCGGGACAGAGCATGGTCGAATAGTTTTACAATATTGGTTAGTGAATTAAGCAATTCTGCTCGGTGAGTGGTGAATTCAAAATCAAGACCCTTAAGGTGAGATATAAGTTAACACTCTAAGTTTGCAAAATCAAGGGATGAGTTGCAGATTTGCACATGAGATTGATGTCTTGGAGCATCAGTGTTGGTCATGACTGTTTAAATCCATGGAAAAATATGAGGAGAATGAATGAAATTGGTATACAAAAACAAATTGATTTGCAATTTTCTTGTCAATGAGGGTTATAATTCTGGTGTAATTCAATTTTTGCAACAAGTTGATACGGATACGTGAGAGAAAAATGTGAGTTACATGTGAAAAGAAAATTATAACTGCTCTAGCTCATCCAGGAAAAGCCTTTTTGTGCTTTAAATATCAATTCCCTTTGATCAAAACAGTAGGGGTAGTACAACTTTCTCTGTTAATCACCAGCTATCTACTTGTGTCTAGGGTAAATTACACCTTTCCCTTGAACTATTATCATCCATAATGATTTTGTCCCCTTAAGCTAAAAATTGTTATTTTTTCACATTAAATTATTAATTTGTATCAATGTGAACATTCTATTAATGATCTGTTACATAAACTAGTGAAAATTTAATGTGTCTCGCACATGGCATTTTAAATATTGTGATATGCTTGAAATGACATTATTCTTCTCTTTCCTTTATTTCTCATTCTTGCTTTCTTTTGCCTACATTATAGCAGTTATGACTATTGTCTTGGGTAGAAAAGTGGAAAACTTCAATTCGATAATGCGAGTCATTCGATTGGAACATATTTTGTTTAAAAAATAATTAACGGACTACTTTCAAAATTATGCTATCTGTTAATTATTTTTCAAGCAAATGAGTTTTGATTAAGTAGCTCCCAATATCGGATCGACCTGATTTTTAGTGTGCATGATCTTCTCTAAAAATCATACAAAATAAACTGTTTGAATCATTGAAACGAATTTGAAATGAGTTTATAGTGAGCTAAAGAAACCATCAAGTTAAATTTTTTAACAGAAAAGAATCTAATTCCTAATTAATAAAATATATTATTTTTAAATAGATCTAGAAAATGAGCTTGTATATAATTTTTCTTTTCTAGAAAGTGGGTTTGTAAATAAAATATTCTATTTTCTAATCAATCATCTTTTTGACACATCAATATGTCTAGGAAATGGACTTGTTTATTATTTTCTTTTCAGATGAGTATATATTAATTATGGGATCACAAGTATATTTATAGGATCTATGCTAAACAAGTTGCTCAAAATGGACTTTTTCACTAATTTTCATTATTTCCTACTAAAAATAAAAAGAAAAAAGAAAAAAAATGACAATTTTTGCAGATCAAAATTCTATTAAAAATCTTAAAATTACAAAAAATCTACAAATTACAATAAATCAATAATATTAAAAAATAATTAAAATTAAGTCAATTATTCACAATTTATCATTTGAAGACCTACAACTCCATGGGACTAACATTCACTACATCTCTTATGTATAATTAACTTTAATTTACTATATCTATCAACTCAATGGTTGAAAAGTTTAAAAATTAACTGAATTTGTTACTTTGTCTAAAAAATACATTCCACAAAACAAAATACACAAAGTAATCATCAAATGTATTATTCAATCAATAAAATGTATTATCCTCAACTATTT